GCTGATGCTGGTGGTTTGAAAAACAATGTAGTATTTTTATGATATTCTGGTGATAATGGTGTTGTAGTTGCTGCTATTAGTTCAAGAACAATGTAGTATGTTGGAAGTGGGTACTAGGAATTTGGCATTTTGTTAATGTACACTATCCTATTATAAATGAAATGGCAATGACTAATTTTTGATGCAAATTTAAGTTCAGATGCACTTCTATATTGTGTTATGAATGAAATGCAAATTCATATTCATGAAATAAAAACATAACTGCCCAAACATATTCATGAATTGAAAACATAACTGCCCAAACATTCAATTACATAATGTGATGAACTAACATTACATCGAAGCTAAAAAATAGAGCATTATTTTGGTCTACAAAATACAAAAATAGAGCATTGTTTTGCCCAAATAAAAAACTAGCAGAGCAAATATGTAATAACTGCCCAAACTACTAAGCTCTAACAGAGCATAATGTATCAAACAGAGCATAAATGCCCAAACAAAAAAACTGACAGTGACATCTTAGATAACATAAATAAAAGTTGGTCTGCTTCACAATGTAGATGCAGCTGAACTTGTTTGACTTGAAGGGGCTTTTTTTCTTGTTGCACTCATCTACTGAAGTTGTGACCTTGTCACTGCATTTCTTCCTTTAAACTTCAATACGAGGGGCTTAAATCCAATGTCTATGTTAGTTGCAGATGTATCGTTGAATGTCCCAGTTGATATGACTCTCTCAGATGATATACTATGCTATAAAATACAATGAATTAGTAAAAAACAAACAGAGCAGTTCTAGCCCACAAACTGCATTACAATAAACTATACACCCTTACATTCAGGATAGTAGTTTCTGTCATAGTGTCAGTGAAAATCCCAAAACCAGTATGCCTTGGCCTTTTATGTCCAATGGTTGCTGTATTAGCCGAGCCTCCTCCTAGTACAACTCCTCTTCCTTTTCCCCTACCTAGTCCATCCTCATGTAGATTGAGATGTTGAAGGATATGTGCTAGTAGAGCTTCCTATAGAAGATGTGAATACACCCTTACTATACCAAGTGTAGTTCCTCTTCCTTTTCCTCTGCCTGGTCTAGGGCCTCTTCCTCTTCCTCTTCCCCTACCAAGCCAGTTGATTGATTGTTGCTTTGTCTTTTGACAACACTTGTATTCTCACATATAGATGATAGATTGCTTTGTTGAGATGGTATTTCTTGAGATGATCTTGGTGGAAGTGGTGCCATATTTTGACTTTGTTGAGTAGCACTTCTTGGAACATGCTGACAGAAGTAAAAGAAAAGAATACCAGAATTGCAAAGAAAAAATGTAAAAGAAATATTAAAAAGACAGAAGTACAAATATCATAACTTACCATGTTCCTGTATCCAAATTTGTTGTGGCACGTTTGTTGGCAGTTTGAACAAGCCATCTTTACCCCTTTTTTTGATAGTTTACCATACTTTTTTCGTGGCTCATCCTTGGATTTTCTCCTACATCTCTTTGGTCTACCTGGCATAGGGTTATGTTCAGGAGGCTCTATACATTGATTTGTTGATTCTTGCCACATCTTCATGTTGGAAATTGGTTGAATGAAATGTTGGTAAGCTTTAAGGAAAGTTTCCTTCCTATACCAGTGGGCAACATAATCATCTGGGTCCATTTCTCTATCATAGAATGCATATACTGCATGTTGAAATGGAATGCCCCTCAACATCTATGATCTACAAGTACATTCCATGGTCCTAAAATCAACAATGAATCTGTACACACCTTCACCAACCTCAAACCCATGTTTTGCATTCCACATAACCTTACACCTCCTAGAGAGGGCTTTTATCTCTTCCAGTATCATCCTAGCCATTGGTGCAATGTCAGTATCCCAAGTCTGAGAAAACTTGCTCATTTCAATGGTCCTATTCATGATTTTGTGTCTAATTTCTTCCAACATAGTTATAACAGACTTGTGCCTAGGACCTATTATCCAAAAATTGAATATTTCACACATGTTATTCTCAATGACATCACACTTTGAATCTTCTCTAAACTATGTCCTATACCAATACTCTTTATCATACTTCAATAAGTCTTCACTTATCTTATAACCAAGCTTATTCATTGCTTCCAGTTCTTCCTTGAATTTCACTTCATAAGATATTTTGGCACATCTCGAGAATTATTTTCTCCGTTCTTCACTTATCCAGTTATTAGACCAGTTAGACCAAATGTGTCTAGCACACATTCTGTGTTCTTCCATTGGTAGTAATTTTCTTATAGTTGGTACTAGTCCCAACAAAAAATAGTAATAAATGTTAGTATACAATATATATAAAGCAGAAAAAAAGAATAATTAGAAGTTGATTATAACTTTACCTTTTGCATATCTGACATAACAGTTAAGCCAGCATCATCTCCTAACTGTAAATCTGCAATCAAATATGTGATGAACCAGCTCGAAGAGTGTTTTGTCTCTTGATCAACTATAGCCCATACAATAGAAAATATTTGGTTGTTCCCATTTCTACCAACTGCAACAAGTAACTCACCCTTGTAGATTCCATTTAGAAAACAAGCATCAAATCCTATGATCCTTCTGCACTATTCTAACCATCCCCTTTTCAAAGCATCTAAACATATATAGAAATAGACAAACAGATTCTTGCCAGGAAGAGTCTCACTATATGTTCTGATCCAACAAGAACTCCCAAAATTTGTTTTCTTAATAATATCAGCATAATCAGCAAGTCTGTTAAATTTCATCTTCCAGTCACCCATGAATTGACTTCTCACCCTACACTTAGCCCTGTAACAAACAGTCCTTCCAACATACAAACCTAATTTATCCCTGACCAAATCCTGAATCTCCCACAACTTAATATTTGGTTGGAAAATTGTCACGATTCAATTTCTAACCAAGTCGTAAATTGTCACGATCCAATTTTTAACCATCTACCTCAGCATACCCCATATCCTTTGTGTGGGACAGAAACTCAAAAATGAGAAAAGTGGTCCTTGTCTATCATGTGACCATCCTCACCCATGTCTCCTACATATCTCGGGTCAGGATCCTAAATAATTTGTCCACCATGGTGAAAATCGACAAGAATATATTCGTCTGTAGACATGACTAGATTTATCACTGTATTAAAAAATCAAAAAGCGAAACAGAAGATATCAGTAGATTCCCCGACCCAAAATTATAAATAAAAAAAAAACTAATTTTCACAAACTCCAACAAACTAAATTACAACAACCAAAAATAACTAAATATTCTGTAAATAAAAGTTTACCACTAAAGGAAAACTTTGATTGAAAGAGCATAAACCACGAAACTTCAGTCACAACCAACTCCACTCACCACCACGGTCGAAAGAAGCAAACAATTACCCATATTAGTAATATAATCGACCAAGTTGTTGACGGACAGTTGAATCTAACTCAAAATCGATGAAGATTCCACCGGGAATCGGTCTCAATGTAGTTCATTAGGGTTTATTACGCTAAGGAAAGGGGATTTTGGGTGGAAGATCGATTAAGTGAGGCGAGGTAAAATGTGGGTAAGGTAAAAAAGGGTTTTTTTTATCTGACCTGGATAAATAAACACGTGTCAGCATTTTATTGGTATGTTATTTCACGTGGGAAGCGTTTAAAAACACGCGCTTATATTTTTACAACCCGGTCATGTGTTGTGTTTAAATGGTATAGTGTAAAATACAATAAAAGCGTTCAATAGGAAAAGCGATAAGTTAAAATATCAAAATAGAAACTATAGCCGAGTTTAAGGGTACACCTATTTGGCCTTTATTATATAAATCAAACATCTTAAAGATGATGTCCATTAATTACCATCGTACGAGATAAAAGAGAGAGACTATCACCTATTACGTACATTTTAGACACTGAAGTGAACATATTTGGTAGAGTATTTAACAAAGTTAGCCCAAATTGAAACCTCTTAATTAAAATTCTCATAAAATATTGCATGTCAAATACTAAACAATTTATATTATTTTTTTTATAGATAAGAAAATAAACAGATAGTATACTATATTCTTCTTTATTTGCCATTATTGAAGGGTGACGAGATCATGAAGCAGTCCTCCCTTCCCTTACCCATGCGCCATGCCTTTTTTCTCTTTAGTTGAAACGTAATACTTCAAAACCAATTCTCTCTTATTATTAATAGAATAATAGAGAGAAACTTAAAGAACAAATAAGGATATTAGAAAAGCTTCTTTTCTGATTCCATGACCAAAGTACCATCCAAAGGTCATATATACATTATTTCAAATTTATAACAAATAAAAGAGTAAAGCATCGTCCTATTATCAGCACCAAGAAATTAAGCATTTTTGTCTTTGCGAGGCGTTTTTTATTTGTCTTTTCTTTTTCAATCCATAATTTAAATAATTGTTTGGGGTGTGGGTGAGAGGAGAGGGTTGAGGGAAAGAAAAGTTCAGAAATCCTTGAATAACATTAAATGATTCTTTAATTCTTTTGGTTACTTCCTGAGTAATGATTTTCAGGCTTCCTAAAGAAAGCTTTTCCATGAAATCTCTTTACTTTTAAGTATTATTACCTATTAATTAATATGAAAATATATCTTAAAAAGAATTATTAAAACCAGCCAGATATCTTCAAAGTAATGAAAGTAAGACGTTTTACATTAACTAAAATGTCTTGGGAAAGAAGATGGAGAGAATGTCCTATTCGAGTATAAATATATGATACAACATGAAACAATATACTGTATAATTCTCACATCACTGGTCAGTTATGTGACATACATAACAATCTATTATTTTGAATATCTCTATGAATCACTTTATGGATGATATGTTACGTTACATTATGTTATGTTATATTGTTTTTTTTTATTTTAATTTTGTTATTTATTATTTGTCTTATTATTGTTACTAACAAAAAGAAAGGAAAATACTCAAAATAGATACATGCAACCATCAAAAGGAGCTTTCATTTAAAGAGAACATAACGGCCTAATGAATCAAACATAATCTTCCTCTTCCCTTTCCCTCCCTTTTTCTCTCTGTTAATTAATCATCCAACTCAAAATAGCTATCTATTATTTCCTCTTTTTTTCTTCTCGACATCTCCGCTCTTAAGCTAACCAAACTTTGTTTTCAACGTTGTACTTTGCTTCAATTTCTCTATTTTCTTGTTGGTTTTATCAAAGATTCTTTTACAGACATTTCATAAACTTTCAGTTGAATTGTTGGTGTTTTTGCATTTATACAATAAAGGCTTTGGTTTCATTTCATCTCGTTGATCATGGCTTCAATGTCTAATACCATTCAGATTTCTCTACAAAAATCAAAATTTTCTTCACCCCACAAACTTGTTAGTAGAAGTTTAACAAATTTAGTTCCTTTGAGAAGTCTATCAGTTGTTTTAAATTCCAAAAGCTTTGAACTTTCACCTGTGGGGTTATCCAGCAAGCCCCTGAAGTTAGTTAAATGCAGTCAACTACTGAAGCCAAGAAGCAATGTTGATGTTTTTGTCACAAAGGCTGCAGCTGCTGATGCAGAGGGTCTTGACATTGAAATTACTGATGGGTTTGATTTTCTTTTTACATTTGCATCTTTATTTTTCATTCTTTTACAAAGTTTACAGTATTATTTAATTGATTATCAAATTTGTAAGCAGGTATGTTAAACCAACTAAAGGCTTTGCTGAAAAATTTCCAGCTCTAGTTACTGGATTCTTTTTCTTTACATGGTAAGCTGTTGGGTAACTATTGGACTAGCAAGTTGTTTGACTTGTAAATCTTTTGGCTTTTTTGGTTACTTTTTGTTTTTTTAAAGAAAGAGTTTCGTTTGGGGGAGAAGTGGGAGGAGATATGGCTTGAGAAAGGTAAAAATGAGGAACTGTGATTGTGGTCAATTTTCATAGGACACAGCGGCGGAGCCAGGAACTTATATAAGAGGCAACAACAACAACCCAGTGAAATACCACTAGTGGACTCTGAGGAGGATAGTGTGTACACAGACCTTACCCTATCCCGAGAGATAGAGAGGTTGTTTCCGATAGACCCTTGGCAACTTATATAAGAGGATTTAGAAAATTACACTGTTACACTAGAATTTTTCCTTATGTCAAGGAGATTCAACAGAATATATATAGAATTTGTCTTTACTCTATTTACTCGGTATAATCTTTTGAAGGAGATTCAGTTGAACCCCCTTCACTCTGCCTAGTTCTGCCACTGATTGGACATATAGTTTTACATTTATCAGATACCTAAAAGTTTCTTGTGCCCCTTTTCAAATGAATCTGATCATTAAGTATTCTAATGCAGGTACTTTCTGAATGTGATTTTCAATATACTCAACAAGAAGGTCTACAATTATTTCCCATACCCTTAGTAAGTTTGCTGTAGTAATTTGGAAGACTGTTAAATCCAATATCCTGTTTTGCAAAGAAAAGAAAATACAGCTTACGTTGAGTTTTCTTGAATATGATTTTCTTCATGCTTTTGCAGCTTTGTGTCGGTTGTACATCTTCTAGTTGGAGTAACCTATTGTCTTATTAGTTGGTCTGTTGGTCTACCTAAACGTGCAGTAAGTTTCAATTTTGTGCATTGTCTATATTTTGTTAATATGCCCATCAGCTGGCTTTAATGAACTTGCTTGCATTGGTCAAATTATGTGATTAGCCCATCAATAAGGAACTTCTGGCACTGCTCACTCCAGTAGCATTCTGTCATGCTCTTGGACATGTTATGTCTAATGTATCATTTGCAACTGTTGCTGTATCCTTCACTCATACCATCAAAGGTAATAACTCAAAGAGAGATACTACTTTAGCTCGCTAATTTTTCGTTTTTAATAACAGATGCTTGTAAATTTCTACAGCTCAAATAAGTACTTCATACGACATCATTACATCAATAGTGGTTCTTAAGGCTGATATATGGCTTCTGAAATTAGTTTTAGAAATAAAAAAGCAGTTCAGAATACTTCCTTACACACTTATTCTGGAAAAACTGACATTTTCTCATTGTTGTTGGATAGCTCTGGAGCCATTCTTCAGTGCAGCTGCTTCTCAGTTTGTCTTGGGGCACCAGATCCCTGTCTCTCTGTGGTTATCACTGACCCCTGTTGTCATTGGTAAGTGTCATATATAGCATTGTTTTACCAGCTGCTCTAACAATATCTCCACAGAAAATCTTGGCTGTAAATGCAAAACTTGAAACAACTTTTACAGTATCCTATAGTAAGAAAAAGAAGTTAGTTAGAAGATTAACCAAGTGTGTTGAATGACCAGCAAATCCTCAACACAGAGGTTCTACCTCATTCTTCTTGCTAATGTAGCCTGCTCAAATTCTGGTCAAAATAAAATAATTTGATGGCTGAAACTGTTTTTAGGTGTATCGATGGCTTCATTGACTGAACTGTCATTCAATTGGACTGGCTTCACTAGTGCAATGATCTCAAATATTGCTTTTACTTACAGAAGTATCTACTCAAAGAAAGCAATGGTAAGTGTTTTCCTCATATAGTAAGACTCTGCTTTAACTACGCCAGCTTTACCTTCACGTAGGCTAACTGACATACAAAAATTCTTTATCTTCCCTTAACAGCAAAATGACATAAAATTCATGCAATGAGCCTTCATGATCTTCCCTTACAAAACATTTTGTCGTCTTCTCATGTTAGACTTGTAATTTCAACTACCTAGAAATCAAATTTAATTTGTCAAAGCTGGTGCAAATGTGATTAACATGTAAATTTCAGTCAAAACGAGTTGAATTGCTTGGTTAAGATACATCATCGAGGAACTCGTTCACACATGGATTAAGAAGTCAAAACCAAGTGGAGCAGTTTTAGTTTTCTCAAATTTGCAAACTATCCCTCTAAGTGTCTTCTGTCCTACATAATTGTATCTTTTCGGATTTTACCAATCAACATTGAAGGATTTTTTTTATCTTTCTCCTATACTTTTTTATCTATGCTTTTCTTGCTACTGTTTTTGACAGACTGGAATGGATAGCACAAATGTATATGCATATATTTCAATCATGGCCCTCTTCTTTTGCCTCCCTCCAGCCATATTTGTAAGTTTATTTTTCTTAGAGACACTTAAACCTGCTTTCTCAGTATATTTCGAAGATAGAACTAATACACAGCTGCAATATGCAATGTCAGATTGAAGGACCCCAACTATTGCAGTATGGTTTCAGGGATGCCATTACTAAAGTAGGCCTTTATAAGTTCTTATCTGACCTCTTTTGGATAGGGATGTTCTATCATCTGTATAACCAGGTATGCATCAAGTATGTGAAAAATAAATGCATTTTCTTTTTTAATAGAGTTTTTAATCTTTTCATATTTCAAGTTTTTCTGGTTAATTTCCTAGAGTTAATTCCTTTAATTTCATAAAATGTATAATAACCTTTGCAGATAGCTACCAACACATTAGAGCGGGTTGCGCCACTTACACATGCTGTTGGAAATGTACTGAAGCGAGTTTTTGTGATTGGTTTCTCTATTGTGGTATTTGGTAAGCGTATGCTCTAATATGCTTCCACCACAATACATGTGTTTTTATAAATGTCAAATGAATGAATGAATTATGAGTTCTTGATACTCCATATGACTACAATTGAAGTGTGTGTCGCAATATAAAATTAGAGGATAAGTAAACTTTGCATGATACTAAGATTTTTAGATTAACTTTCCTGATAGTATCAATCAAGAATTTTCGAAGTCCAAGTTTCCCTCAAGCTAAATTGAGACCTTGTTGAAGAGTTCTTTTATACTTTGGTTGCTAAAGTTCCCACTCTGGGCTAAGAGATCTGTCTGTTACATTTCTGCTACAGTGCATAAAAGCTACTGGTGCATTGTACAACTAATTTTCAACACTGTGCTTCATGACATTGCTCAGATTCTTGATTCAGTATGTTAATTTGTTCTGTGCTTAACTGTTTCAAAACTTTGCAGGAAACAAGATATCAACTCAAACTGGGATTGGTACTGCAATAGCCATTGCAGGTGTTGCTATCTACTCTTTAATAAAGGCAAGGATGGAAGAGCAAAAGCGGGTTAGTCCTTAAAGAACCATCTAACCTCATTCTTCCTTTTCTCTGTCTATCCAAGTGTACTACTACTGTCCTCATCCCAGTAACGTGATCACAACTTAATTTGGGTCACACAAAAATATTTGAACACTTCAAGAATAAAAGCTAGTACACAACAACTTCAAAAGATTTGACTTCATTTACCATAATGTGGTGTAACTATATAGAAAGAATCAGCTTTCCAACTTTAGTCCAGCTTTAAGATATTCTTCTACTACCAGCAGTTTAACACAAAAATCAAACTTTTTAATTCCTTTTTGAGCAGTCTAGTTTCATTACGTAAGGAATCTTAATAATTCAGTTGGTCGGCTATCTAAATGTCCACCTTCTTGGTGGGGGTTCGATTCCGCACCTTGTTATCCCTTCCACCATTTCCACTTCCCCTACCCCTATGTATAATTAAAAAAAGTGTTTCACTACATATAATGGAAAGAACCAGCAGCATTCCATTTTGAACAAAGTGTGCGTACGCAAAATTAGTAGTCAGACCTACATGTGCAGTTTGACTTAAATTGAGGTTAAATTTGCTCTCTATATTTACCTCAAAACTTTTTCCAGAAAAGCCATTTTACTCCAAATTTGGCCCCTTCTCAAGCAAAACGGAAGTTGTAGAAAATTGAATGCACTGCTTTAATAGTCTTGTCTATTTTCAGAAGGCTGCCCTTGCTCATGCACAATAGGGCACACTAGCAAAGAAGAGTTAAAGACTGGAGACAAAAAGTACCAAGCAGTGCAGAGATGATCTGATTAATGCAGGAGAATAGTTACCTCATCTCAGCTACGGCTTTTTAATTATTTTAGTTCGCTTGTTTCTTCTGTACAATTGTAAATTTGGCCTCATTTTGTTGGTTTGAATATTCACAAGTTAGATACAAGCTGATAAATTCAGCGGGCAGTAATTCCAGAAAATAAGACTCTAAATTACATTTCGTTTTTTCAGTTGTTTGCTGAGCTATTCAAAAGATTACAGTGATGCAAAGAATATTATACAATTCGTAAATAGTTTGAACACTTACCTCCAGACGTGGAGGACGCAGTACTGCAGATCAGACAACTTTATTTCGTTTGGAGTGAGTAAATATTGCACACAGCGGAAACAGATTGCTAGATTCATTTCAGTACCATGAATCCCTGACAAGCTCACCAGCACAACTTAGAAACAGAATCAATTTTGAAGAAAACAAAAAGCAAGAAGCGAATGAACATTTGTAACTAATGTAAAATATTCAGCAGGAAAATTGTGCTACAATTGTTCGCCAAGACCTTGATCTCATTGCAATAGCACTAGCATAATAGCAATTGCGTCTTTGTTTTCCCTCTTCCTAAAGGGTACAAAAGAATATGAAATTTTGTGAAGAAAAGAACCTTCTAATATAGACACTCCTCCATGGCTTAATACTAACCAGAATTTTATAATTTACAGACATTGGATAAAGGATAAAGCCAAGGACACAAGATGCAAAACATCACCAGATTTTGTCAACTCCATCTGCACTTTGATGTCATACCTGTGGAGGCTGGCCTGAAGAAGAGGAAAAGAGACCCTAGGAAAGCTTTAAATTGCTACAAGCAATGATATTTAATCAACCATCTATAAAGTCCTTAGCAAAAAGGTCTCCATTAACAAACTAAAAGGGGCCAACAGATTAGTAGGGTAGTCCCAGAGTCAATGCAACACCATCTATTCGGCATATTCATTACTGTATTCAAGATTAAACAGCATGTTCCGACGGTTCTCTGTGCACATTCGGATGTCGAACTGTTTGGCCCAGGATTCCACCCGATCGTCAGATTCATAGTCCATCTCTCGAGTACATTGCCTTCGGATCTTTTTCAGCGTTTCCTTAGATGGTTTATATTGTGCACGCACCTGCACATGATGCCAAATTTTAAATTATTAGTCAGCTCAAACCATTTATTTGAGGGGACTGCAGGGTGGGGTGGGAGAGTGATTGCAGTCAAACTATGAAGTACCATCTCGTCGACAACAGAAATTGCGCCTTTAAGGTCTCTCTTAATAAGTTGAGCATCAACAAATAAGTTGAGCATCAACAAGCACAAATTATTTATCTCAAAATCGGATAACAATTGAATTTGTTAGTGGTTTAAAGGATATGCGGATTAATTCAATACTAAATGATAAATTATATTACAATTGAAATAAATAACGATAAATTAACTACAAATCACACGAATTGAATAATTTCAACCTAGGGAGGTTGGCTGCCCTTGAGTTGAAACGCGCTTAGATCAGTATTGTGAAAACAAAGAATAATAACTTCAAGAATCAATAGTAATGTATTGCTTATGAGTGTATGTTACCATCTTCCCCCATGAATTGCTAGGTTCCCTTTATATATTCGAGGAGTCCTACTTTTAGGCCATTATTCTATTGTTCTATATAAGGTAAAAAGTCATTGATTTGCTAACTGTTGGTCCCCTTTTTTGGTATGTTCCGTGATTTCCGCCGTAATATCCGATTAGCTGCGGGAATTTCGGACCCTTGTCGGATAAGCTGGCAATATTTTCTTTGAGACTGTTATAACCGGAACTGGTTATGACCTCGGTAAACTCGAAGGCAAGTCTGGTGGTTCCGATGGCTAATTCGGCAAGGCAAGAACCGATCTCTAGGATTTTATCACCATCTCTCGATCCCAAACTGCCGTATTGGATGCTCGGTCAAATTTCGAGTTCGCTTTTACCCGTATACAGATAGTCCCATCATTTTTCGGAGAATAAATTACGAGAAACGATATGAGCTCCCGATTCTTACTTCGATAAATCATGACGTAAAGTCCCATCATTTTTCGTAGAGTAAATGACGAGAAACGATATGAGCTCCTGAATCTCACTTCGATAAATCATGACGTAAGCGACAAAAATCATGACGTAACCGACAAGAATAGTTGAAACGTCCCGCCAGTCTAGTTTTTAAGGCATTAAATGCTTGTCAGTTGCTGGTCGGCCACTCCCAGATGCGAACCGTCGCTTGAAAAACTATAAATACCTCCTCCTTTGTTCATTCAAACTTTACATTCAAACCACCTTCTGCTCTCGTGTCTAAGAGATTTCAGTACTTCCAAGTTCTTTTATTCTGATTTTCTGAGATCTTTCATAAGATTTCTTCATCTGCTAATCATCCATTATTCCTCATATAAACCTTATTTTCTTTATATCTCTTCCATTTTTAAATAAATAGCGAAAACTTCAAAATCCGTTCCTCAAAAAGAAACTCCCCTTACCTCGAGGCCGACTGTTAAGGAAACTGTTTCCCATATTGCTGCTGAGGAACCGACACCGGACCTCCCCTAAAAATGTTCATCCCTGGGGGGTGACCGACCGGTGCTGATTTCAAGATCGAGAAGCCCTCCTCGGTATCGGGCCGGTGTGAGCCGGTCTCGAGATATATTTGCTCGATCACCGAGGACGCCCTCTCCAAGGTCAAGAAAGATTGCAACTGGGCTAATAAGTACGTAGTGGTCCCCAAGCCTGAGGAAGCCATCACTACCCACGTGGAGGGATTTTTAAGTATTTATACTTATCCCTTCATGCTGGGCCCCTTGGACCCGGTCATTATTGCCTTATGTAAGAGGTACGAGGTGACCCTTGGTCAAATTCACCCTTCTTTTTGGAGGATAGTAATTCTCCTCCATTTTTTCGTAAGCAAGATCGAGGGGGTCCCTTCACCATCGACTATCTCACTCGCGTATATGGTCCCCGACTTTATCGAGGGAGACTAATCAAGCTTGCCCGTCGGGCCAATAAGGCCCCATTCTCGAGCATCGATGAAGATCGGGACCGAGGCTGGTTAGGCCGCTTTGTCCGAGTGAAGACCTCAGATTTGATCCCAGCCGAGCATATGCCATTCCTGAGAAGTGGAATATGACACGTAAGTGTTCATCGCTCTTCCTTTTCCTCCCTTCTCATCGATATTTTGTGGTGGTGCAGGTGTTGCTCGGATGCCGGATGCAGTTCCTCGACTCAAGGAATGGGTCGAGGGCATTGCAAAACAAAAGCCTTATTCTGAGCGTTCGTGGCGCGAGCTTTTGAACGGCCGATGGGAGGCCCATTCCCATGGTGAGATTTTTCTTAAGTGGCATTTGATTTCCCTTCTGCGTTGTTGAGTTCTTACTCGTTTTATTTCTTTTGGCAGGTTTATCAAAAAATGTCACAATGAGGCCTCCATCTGGTGATGATGATATCCTTACCAAATCATCTGCTCCGAGGCAGGATAAAGAGAATAAAATAAAAAGGGCTCCGAGTTCTCCGAGCTCTAAGAAGAAGAATCCAAGGAAATGATTGGCGCGTAAACCCAAGGGAAGCACCAGTGCTCGAGCACTATCTCCGAACTCACTCTAATGATTGAGGGATGAGTCCGAGGGGGAAAGAGAAGCCTTCGATCTGGTGGCCAGCGTGCCTCCGCAGCTCGAAGGGCAAAGGGTCTTCGAACCAGAGGGAGGCGAGGCGATCTTTATCAAGTCGGGGAGGCCGAGGAAGAGGCAGGAACTGAAGCTTCCCGGGATGCGGGCAAAGCCCCGTAGGAAGCCCGATAGAGATCGCTGAGTCACCCTCGTTCATAGAGTCGATATTTAACGAGGCCCAAGCTGCAAAAGAACGCCCCATCGATGGGGCGCATGGAGCGGATGACCTTTTCCACGGCTTTTTCGATGGCGTGGATTCGACGGCCACGGAGGATGTCACCGGGTTGGGTGGCTTAGAGATACCAAGTAAAAGCCAATCCCCGGAAACACGGGCCTTCCTTAAGCCCAAAATTATTCAGTCAATTCCCTGCCCTGAGTGCATATCCCGATCGGAAATGTACCATTGTTATTTCCTTTACGGAGAATGCCCAGGCTCTTTCCGCCTCCGTAGGGGTGGCTAGTTATCTTCGGTGTCTGGTGACCGAGAATGATCAAGACAAGATGAATGAGGTGGGTGCACCCTGCTTTTTCAACGAAGCACAACAGGCTCTGAACCGGGTAACTTCATGATTTCCAAAGTGATTTTTTTATTTACACTTAGATTATATCGTAGATAACTTAGTGTTTCTCTTTGTGCTCGTAGGCCTCGGTGCTTCATCACAAGACCTTTTTAAGGTACCGGACGAGCTAAAACATCTCGAAGCTGAAGTTCGAGAGCTCACTGAGAAGTGAGACGCCTTTAAACTTCTTAGCGAGCAGTTCGAATGGGAGGTTAAGAACCTCCGTGCCGAGCTGGAAGTTGCTCGGAAAGAACATGCTAATTTGGCCGAGCAGGTAAACGTTTTTGAGGTTAGTGACGATGAATTTGATTCGGTGACTGATGGTCAAAATCTGCAGGTCCAGCAAAAACTCGATCAGATTGACCAGCTCCGAGCTGAAATGGACATAGTCAAAGTTGAGACCGATGAATGGAGAGGAAGAATGGATCTTCTAGCCTCAGAAAAAGAGTCTTCTCAGGCACAACTAAATTCGACTGAAATCCAGCTTAGAGAGACAAAGGAGAGGGCTGAGGTTCAGACCAAAAAGGTTGAGGAGCTCCAATCCCGGTTAGGTTCGGCTGTCTCAGATCGAGAAAGTTTGGCCACAGAGCTTAAAACGGCCAAGTTAGAGGTCGTTGTTGTCAAAACCGAAGGGACCTTGTAAAAAATATAGTTAAGCATATGAAGTGGAAATCCCGAAGGGAGGCCCTCGAGGAAGTTCACGCTCAGGGTTTTGACTTATCGGCTAAGATTGAGAATGCCAAGGTGCTCGAAGCCAAGGCCAGGAAAATGGCCTATCCCGAGGAGGAAGATTCCGAGGACTCAAGCAGGTCTGAGGGTGGAGAATACCCCGGGAATCCCGGTGACGAAGCGGGCTCCGGCCAAGATCAAGATGCTTAAGTGCCTCTGTGCGATTTGTATCTTTTCTTGTTGTATTTAGTACTTTTTGTCAAGGTCGTTGGCCTTTATAAAGATTATACTTCATAAATACAAATTTTCCATTTCTCTTTGATTATTCTTGATTTTTTCCTTTGCCTTTCTTTTTATGTTTTGCAAAGATTGAAACGCCTTAGCATTAAATAGCCATGTTCGGAGTTCCGAACAGGTTTTTCCTTTGATTTCATTTTTCTCTAAGGCATCGTGGGAATCCGGTATGGCCGAAAATCTTTCTCAAAGTACTTATAATTCCTTAGATTTATAATTTGCCAACTATACTTTTTGCTACGGGTTTCGGGCATCTCGGTGCCGTTTTAATACGGCCGTAGTCTTTTGGTTCGGGCAAAGCCAAATATGCTTCGTGCCCTCAGGTTTTTAATATCCCGGATTGGCCGTAGCCTTTTGTTCGAGCAGTGCCAAATAGGCTTCGTGCCCTCGGATTTTAATATCCCAGAATGGATGTAGCCTTTTAATTCGGGCAACGCCAAATAGGCTTTGTGCCCTCGGGCTTTTATACCCCGGAATGGCCATAGCTTTTTAGTTCCGAAAATGCCAAATAAGCCTCGTGCCCTCGGGTTTCATTATCCCGGAATGGTCGTATCCTTTTAATTTGGGCAATGCTAAATAGGCTTTGTGCCCTCGGGCTTTTATATCCTGGAGTGGCTCTTGGGCTCGATGTCTTCGGGGAACAAAATGAAATTTTTTTCAAAAGGGCACAAATTTTTATCCGCAAGGTAGAGTATACAAAGTTAGATTTGTACTTTGTGTCCGGGATCAGGTGGTCTGTGTGGGCACGATTCAATCGACCGTTTGGCCTTTACAGAGAATCTTTTTGACCGAGCGTAGATTGTTCGAGCACAAGAATCAAAAATAATTCCCCCCGGATTATGGATTATGCCCCAGTGTTCGGGGTTTGTCGTAGATAAGCCTCGAATACTGTTGACTTCGATTCTAAGTTAGCACGATTTCACTGTTGCCTCGTTAAAAACCTTGTCGGAAAACCCATTTGGGACAAAATC